GACCATGTTGGGTTTTTTAAAGGTTAAACCAATTAGCAGGCTGGACCATGTTAGGTTTTTGTAAAGGTTAAACCAATTAGCAGGCTGGACCATGTTGGGTTGTTGTAAAGGTTAAACCAATTAGCAGGCTGGACCATGTTTTTATAAATGACATTAGAATCAAACATTGTAATCATATTAATTAAAGGTGGTATAAATGACAGTAGAATCAAACATTGTAATCATATTAATTAAAGGTGCTATAAATGACAGTAGAATCAAACATAGTAATCATATTAATTAAAAGTGGTATACATGACAGTAGAATCAAACATTGTAATCATATTAATTAAAGGTGATGTAAATAGCACTAGAATCAAACATTGTAATCATATTAATTAAAGGTGCTATAAATGACAGTAGAATCAAACATTGTAATCATATTAATTAAAAGTGGTATACATGACAGTAGTATCAAACATTGTAATCATATTAATTAAAGGTGATATACATGACATTGGAATCAAACATTGTAATCATATTAATTAAAGGTGGTATACATGACAGTAGAATCAAACATTGTAATCATATTAATTAAAGGTGCTATAAATAACACTAGAATCAAACATTGTAATCATATTAATTAAAGGTGCTATAAATGACATTAGAATCAAACAACTGGGGAATAAATCTGTACACTTAAAGTAAGAAACCTTTGTACACTTAAAGTTAGAAACTTCTGAGGTGAAATGATAAAATTAAACCTTTGGTCACTTCTAAGAATACTATACTAACAGTGTAGCCGCAGGGGGGGGGGGTTGTCCTCCTCCGTATTTAATGTCATTTAACATAATAACCTTTACAAAAACCCAACATGGTCCAGCCTGCTAATTGGTTTAACCTTTCAAAAACACAATATGGTCAAGCCTGCTAACTGGTTTAACCTTTACAAAAACCCAATATGGTCCAGCCTGCTAACTGATTTAACCTTTAAAAAACCCAACATGGTCCAGCCTGCTAATTGGTTTAACCTTTACAAAAACCCAACATGTTCCAGCCTGCTAATTGGTTTATCCTTTACAGCAACCAAACATGGTCCAGCCTGCTAACTGGTTTAACCTTTACAAAAACCCAATATGGTCTAGCCTGCTAACTGATTTAACCTTTAAAAAACCCCACCTTTAATTAATATGATTACAATGTTTGATTCTACTGTCATGTATACCACCTTTAATTAATATGATTACAATGTTTGATTCTACTGTCATGTATACCACCTTTAATTAATATGATTACAATGTTTGATTCTACTGTCATGTATACCACCTTTAATTAATATGATTACAATATTTGATTCTAATGTCATTTATAGCACCTTTAATTAATATGATTACAATGTTTGATTCTAATGTCATTTATAGCACTTTTAATTAATATGATTACAATGTTTGATTCTAATGTCATTTATAGCACCTTTAATTAATATGATTACAATGTTTGATTCTAATGTCATTTATAGCACCTTTAATTAATATGATTACAATGTTTGATTCTAATGTCATTTATCACCTTTAATTAATATGATTACAATGTTTGATTCTAATGTCATTTATAGCACCTTTAATTAATATGATTACAATGTTTGATTCTAGTGCTATTTACATCACCTTTAATTAATATGATTACAATGTTTGATTCTAGTGCTATTTACATCACCTTTAATTAATATGATTACAATGTTTGATTCTAATGTCATTTATAG